TGCATGTATGACAAGGATTGACAAGTGTGTAAGTGTGYGGTTCATTATGCAAAGATCACWKACACAATGTYTTTTGCGCGTGCATGYATTYAAATGCCTTGTGACTGCCAACRTTATRTGAAACYGACATTTTTGCRTTCATAAATGAAACTTTTGTGCGTGTTAAATTAAAATGTGATTTCGCTGAAAAATATAAAAAATTTTAAGTTTAAGTGCAATGTGACGGATGTTGTCGCAGAAATGGATGATCATRTATAACAAAACAAACTGGTTGATATAAGATGAACGGTGAACATCTTGAAGTTGGACTTCGACAACTTCTCTAAATGTTATAGAACTCGAAGAGGATGATAAAAAATCCAACAAGATTACAATGACACATTGCTCATCATAATTATAAACATGTATGAATTTCATCAYMTATCCARACAATCGTCCCGRGSGASAGAATGAGTTTGSYTATTACATCTCTAAACAAGTCTGGATCTCATCTGATYCCCACACAACCGTATCAGGCTAGAGGATGAACATGTGTATGCTWCTTAGRAATARYCAAAGAAAWMATGTCCAACAACATTGCAATCATGACATCTTGCTARTCACAATTGTACACAAGTACGGACCTAAGCATACTTACGCATATCGGRCAAAGACATGGGCGTGTTTGCCATTAYACTTCTAAAGAAATTTGGATCTCATCAAMTATCCAAACAACCGTCMCTGGCGAGAGGATGGGTATGCATGCCCAACTTAGGGATAACCTAAAARAAATTAATAWCCAACAATGATGCAATCACACATYGATCATCACATTGATAGACAAGTAAGGATCTCAACAAACTTCTGCGTTTMCGGCGAGTGGATACGCGTGCCTGTAATTAAACTTCCAAATAAGTCTCGATCTCATSAAACATAAAAAAAAACTGCCTYGGGGGAGAGGATGGACATGCCAAYRTTGCTTAGCCAAAAATAAATTCGCTAAAWAGAGGACACTGTATAATGTCTTATTTTAACRAATAACATGTTAAATATGGCGTATTGCAGTTTTTGTGCTCGTTATTTGTTTCTGTYCATAGACTCGTTTTATTGTTGGCATGTCGAGGTACGACTTATTCTGCTYTCTTGGGATAGAGTGAAAAAKCAAGGTAGGTTGATTAAGGAGAGAATCTTTCTCTCATTTTGGGTTGCTCTATATTTCTTTATAGCTTTAAAGCGTATTYATGAATGTTGGAMATTTRAAATCCGGTGCTTTTTATTTACCCCTGCCAGCAGATCTGACGTAGGATAAATCCATCGAWTTTTCACATTTGGAAATGAGACCTGCTACTCTCTTCCTACARATATTTGCTCCTCTCTTCTTGCATGTAGTGACATTAAGRGATATTTTAATTCGTCTGCTCYTTACGTCACTTTGTGCATGCCTCTGGGATARAYTCATTGGAGTAGTACTTCTCTTGYTCTCTTATTGCATATACAGTGATATCCTGCTTGACTGAGGTGAGTACTTAATATGTCCTTCAAAAGCGTCTTAATTATAAGAGATATAATTGGGAGGCCKGCCATGCACCTGACCGTAKATRTAGGCTAGTATATGTAGACTAAAACACCAATAACTTTTAACCATAGCTCTAAGCAATAWCMATCRACCTCGTGYTCTYAAGTTGGTCGGCCTCATTCTCCASTTCAGATCTSACAGGAGTCACAACAGCCACTTGGAGTTTTGAGTCGGATATSTGRYTGTCTATAAAAGCTAGATTCTGAGGCGGATTAAAATGACTCATATTATCTAGTGATACCCWGTGCAACCGCAATWCTTMAGTGCTTTAAATCTAGAAGCAAGRCCCAAAACTTAGGAAAATCTGTTGTAGCCTTGGCTTCTAAATAGTAGGGTTCATCTATCTGTGCTTGCTTAAGGGATTGCATTTTAGTGTGGTAGCTTCMCGRRGTAGACAAARCATTTTCGAAAGCACAAKTTTTGTCATCCACTYATGAACAATAGGGCYTGAAAGATAATACAATTTTTACGGGCAGCGGCATTGTGGAGGTTGTGATAGTSCTATCRGCACATTATTTAGGGTAGGAAGCAATCTTGATCGGTATCCATGGTGATCTTGGYTTAGTGAATGTTGTCTGCCTTGAAGATCCAAGGGTGCATGGTGSGAAACCTGTCTAGAGGGTTCAGGSTTTGTCAATATATTTTTTTAAATTTAGGTTAAGGTTGGCTAAATTGAGTTCCCTCTTGGGAAGCGGGACCGGTTTCTAGCCAAGCGACAGGCGGGACTGGTGCGGCCAGGGG